TCTTGAAGCACTTGACCTTTCTCAAAACAAGCTCACAGGAAGAATTCCTACACAGTTGACGCAGCTCAATTTTCTTGAAGTCTTCAATGTGTCTCACAACCATTTGACAGGTCCTATCCCGAAAGGCCAACAATTTGATACATTTGAAAACAGCTCTTTTGATGGAAATTTAGGACTGTGTGGAATGCCACTGTCAAGGAAATGTGACTACTATAACTCCAAGAGTTTGCCTCCACCATCTTCAACCTCCAAAGGAAATGAAGACTTTGGATTGTTAGCCGAATTCAATTGGAAATTAGTGTTGCTGGGTTATGGATGTGGATTTCTCATTGGTGTGGTTATTGGAAACATTGTTTTTACAAGAAATCATGAATGGTTTATGAAGACATTCCGAATCAGGCAGCCAACAAGGCAAAGGAAGGGGGGTGAAAGATTGAAGAGGAGCAAGGAGTGAAGATGATATCATTTCATTGCATCATTTTTTTCCCTCCTTTTATCTGTTTGTGATTGCAAGTCATGTTCAGTGCAAGTGTAATGTATGGTATGGAGTGGAATTTCAATCTTCATGAATAAGTACTTATACTGCTACTTCAGCAGCTGATGTGGAATATTAATAATTTCCTTTTAGTAAATTCTTTGCTTTCCATAAAGAGAGAAATAGAGAAGAAAATTATATTCATTAATGTGAAAATGCAATTTATCATAAAAAGAGAAAAAAAGAAGTGCAATTTGAGACATATGATATTTTGGTTGTATATGATTTGTTGTAATTTTTTTTTTTTTTTAATTTTACAACTCTTCACCTCCTCATCCTACGCGTCCCAGCTGTTAACTCCTCTTTTAAAAACTACATACATCCTTTAAATCCACTAACTGGATTTGAACACCATTCTACAAAAGATGAACTCCTGCAGCTAATTAAGACAAAAAATGCAGTTCTTGTTTTAAACTTAAAATAACCATACTGTGATTTGCATTTTGGTTGTATATGATTTGTTATAATTTTTTTTTTTTTAAAAAAATTTACAATTCTTCACCTCCTCATCCTACGCGTCCCAGCTGTTAACTCCTCTTTTAAAAACTACATGCATCCTTTAAATCCACTAACTGGATTTGAACACCATTCTACAAAAGATGAACTCCTGCGGCTAATTAAGACAAAAATTGCAGTTCTTGTTTTAAACTTAGGATAACCATACTGTGATTTGCATTTTGTGTTGCATACCTGTGAAAGTTATGGTCTTAGATATATTTGCAAGAGAAATAATAGTAACAACTGTTAATTTATTGCATGGAAGAATAACGGGTCAGAGTGGGATGGAACCAAAAAGGATAATTTGTTGAAACAAGAACAAATGTATATGTTTTTTTTTTTTTTTATCTCAAAGAACATGTATTAAAATGAGCATGCACTAGCTCAAATATTGAACTATGAAAACAATGGAAGAAAATGAGATTTGAATTAGGTTTTTTTGAGTATGTGAGCTCAGATTTTTCGTTCATTCATAGTTTGGAATAAATTGATGAGTTGCATTTTAAGGTGATGAATTTTTGGATGAAGAAGATTAAAGAACAAGAACTCAAATTTTGAAAATACAGGTCTGGATTTCTGTTTTTCCAGCCCTTTCTCTCTTTCATTTCTTCTTGTGATTTTTCAAACGAGTGCAGCTTGATGAACTAATTCTACTCTAGCAAGTGTACTAATCAGTTCAAGTAATATAATGATGAAAATAGAGTATTGTCCCACAGAAACTGTAGCCTGACTAAGTACCAAAATTAACTAATTTTAATTTTATTTGAACAATTGAAATTAAATGATTTGACTAAACTAAATAACTAAACTAATTAACGAAAAACTAAATTGACTTTAAGTAACACCAAGAGTTAAAATTCTAAGGCATCCGATTTCACCATAATCAACTAATATAGAATTTAGATTAATATACTTCTAAGGTATTTATTATTTATGTAACAGCGGGATTTCCTATCCTATTTGATATACTTTCTCAAGTTATACTAAACCTATCTTCACCTATTAACTCACTATATCTCTATGCGAATTTAAATAGATAAAGATGCATTATGTTCTGTGAAATTTCCTAGTTTACATAGAAATTTAAGTCCACTTGTCACTAATGCTACACAAATCACCTTGGTCCATCTCTGACTTTCATTCAATTCATGGTATATATTACTATAAGCTATTGCATAAAATCTCTTCTCGGCCTCAATTATGCTCTCCAAATCAGTTTTAATGGTGACCAATCATTAAAAAGTATTAATAATAATAATATATACTCTATATAAAATAATAAATCTTGAAAGTATAAAAATTATAAAACTCTATATTAAATTGATTAGGTTATATCGTAGCCTTAGATGGCAAATCAGTTCATAATTAAAGAAAAGAGGATCAATAATCTCATGATGAATATACGAGTATCCAACATCATAAAATAAAATTCAAGGACAAGCAAAATCAGTTTGACGATATAAAATCTCAAGCCTTGATCTCCTTTCGTTGTTGAATTTTTCTTAGCCGTCTCTCTTGGTCTCCTCTCCAAAGCCCCAAAACTGATTTTTGAATGGGTATTTATAGAGTTTAAGAAACCCTATTAGAAGAGAAGTAGGACTCGGAACAAAATAGGAAATTGGGAGTTTGGACGCTGCACCCTTAGTCTCAACACCTCAAATTACGTGTCGACATGGAACAGGAAACAGAAACTGTGATTTTGGACGCGTAACGCATAGTGTCAACACCCCGATTATGTGTCGACACCACACCTGTGTCGGGTTTTTGGCCCTTTTTGCAATTTCTTCAATGGTAAAATTACAGATCTGATCCTCCAGGTTTTGTACGATGAGCACTGAGATTTCAAAACTTTAGATTCATTCGTTTAGGTCCCAAAGAAGCCTCTTTCTTCTTGCAGTTCAGTCCCTCAACTTTCAGAAGATGTTTAATTAATTTCAAAAACTCCTATTATTATGCATCCAAGTCCTTTTCTGCACAAAGAATGAAACTCATGTAAAATCTCATAAACTTCTTCCAAATATTAATAATGTCAAGGCAAAAATTCAACATTAATATGTCTATAAATTCAGCTCATCACAGTTTAAATAAAAAGAGGGATTACATTGCTTAGTATCCCCTCAACGATAATAGAGAATTACATTTAATTCATGTTTGCTAGAGAGTTGACATATCTGGACCATTTTCTTCAAATTGTAGTTTGTAATCTAAGCATCAAATCTCAACCCCAACCAACTATTAAAGACACAAGCACACGTACCACATTAATTGAGGAGAGTTACAATGCAAAACAGCACTTCTAACAATTGGTGTGGTCATTTGGAAACGTGGTTTACACGAGGACACGAATGGTTTATGAAGACTTTTCAAATCAGGCAGTCGAGGAGGCAAATAAGGGGTGGTGAAAGATTGAATATAGGAGAATGTAATGAATATGATATATTTCTGCCCATGCTAATATTTCATTTGTATGTTTCTTTATTCTTCTTGTCTCTATTGTGTGGATTACAAGTCAAGTTTAAGACCAATGTATAGTATCAAGTCCAGTGCATGCCCAATATGATATAGAATGTAAATTAAATCTGCTTGAATTGATCCAGGCAAGATCCTCTCGCTGGATAGTGGAAAATACCAGAGTTTAGGCTATGATTTTGCTAACTGGTGTCCATTCCCATCTTATTGCCTAGAGAAAATACCGTGGGCGTGTTAGATGTCAGTGGAAGTGCATTAGTATGAAGTGTTTTGTAAGTGTTTTTGTCTGCTAGGAATCTCTTGTGGACTCAGACGTCTTTTGAGATTGATTTAAATGTATGTGAGTTGAGGTATTGCTTGTACCCCGTTTAATAAAATTCATCTGTCTGTAAATTTTTTTTAAAAAAATATCTGCTTGAATATATTCATTAATGTGAAAATGCAATTTGAGAGTGGTGTGAAGTTTTGGTAGAGGCATGTGAATCTTGTTGGAAAAATAGGGGGTTAGAAAATAGATCATTAGATCATTGACTTCAAGGCGCGCTGCAAATGCCAACAATCTTTAGGCTAATTTCGCCCCCACTAGATTTGGTATGCAAAAGAGGTAACCCGAAATGCCCATAGGATACAATGAAGCGCTTTGTTGATTTAGCCTTTACACTAGCAAGATCAACCACTGAACCATCCTTTGGAAAGCGACAAACCAATAGTTTTTGTATAGGGATTTTTCGAGCAATCGCAATACAAAAAGGGACTGTTTTATTTAGATATTTCTGGGTTCAAAAAGACTCTACCAAAGAAGAAGAGATAACTCCATATTTATAGGGCAAAATGTCTCTTAGAATAGACACTTCTTTTCAATTTTTATCCGTTGGAAAATTTTCCAAAAGTCATTTGGTTTGATTTGAATTCCAACTCACGTGTTTCTTTACTTTCTAAAGTTATCCACTCTTTTCAGAAACTTATCAGAATTCTATCTTTGATTTATGACGTAAATGATTCGAACCAGATAAACGTAGTTCGAATCAAAATCGTAACTTTCCGAATTCTGGTTTTACGTAAATGGTTCGAACCATAATTATATGGTTCGAATCAAAATTACAATTTCTCACATGCAGTTTGTGTAATTGCTTCGAACCAACTTTTTGTGATTCGAACCCAAATCCTGGAAATATTTTGAAAATTCTTCAACAAATCTTTGGTTGTACAGGCATGATTTGTTTTTTTTTTTTTTAAATAAATGTACAGAAGACCATGCAAGACAGGGAGAGACATACTTCATTGCAGGTCTCCCACACGGTCCCACCTCCGTCAGGTTTTTCAATGTTTTGTTTTATTATTTGATCAACTTGCTTGACTTTTGGTTCCTTGCTGTTATGATCGTATCTAACATTTAGAAGCATTCAAGTCAAGTTGCTTTCGTGGATTATGGGGTGGTTGGATTTTGATAGCTATTTTTTGTCGTGATATTGTTGATATATTCGTCAACTTGCCTAATCAATTTTCCTACTCACATTGATGACAATAACACAAATGTAAATCTCTGATTGCATATCATTGATTTTTTTTTTTTAAAGGCAAAACAAATTATAATTATTATTAAAGGAGTACAAAGGTACTGCTATCATTACATCAAAAATACAAATATGCTTCCTTAATCTCGAAATACTCACATCAACAGACAAGTCTTCCCCTTCTCGTCCTACACATCCTTTTGTCCAATGAAAAATTTGTTGTTCTTGTTTTAACTTAAGGTAACTACTGTGGCTTGCATTTTGCATTGCATACCTGCCAAAGTTATGGTCTTAGCGAGAGAAATATTAGTAACAACGGTTAATTTGTTGCATTGAAGAATTCCAGGTCACAGTGGGGTGGAGCTATAAACAACTATTAAGGAAAGAGTACCTTCATGATGATTTGGTGTATTGAAGATTGTACCAGTCCGCCTTTACTCTAGATTTGGTATTGTCTGTATCTTATGCTTGTACATCAGTATCAAAGTCTCCGACAGTTTCAACAAAAAACCATCCCTGTATATATGTATGTATGTGTGTGTTTGTGTCTTGAATTTGTGCCTAGCAATAAAGAGACACTTGTATTTTTTTCTAATGTATACGGGCCTGTTTGTATCTTATGTATGCTTGTAAATATGTATTCAGGTATGTTGATATTTTCAAGGCATCTGGGTTGAATTGGTATGAGCAGTCATGATCATCTTTAACATTTAATAGTCAAGTTATTATAGGATTTATTGTGAATAGTGATGGTTAACACTTCAAAAACCTATGGGATATGCGGGTTGAAAAGGTCAAAGCTTTTGCACTCTTCCTTAGCAGATAAACTGGATATAATTGTCTATAAAAGCTCTTCATTTTCATGAATTTCTACTAGTTCAAAACCAACATATCCAAACAAACGATGGCTTCTTCCTCCACCCATGTCTATCTTTTAAGCTTGGTTTTCTTGATGATCTTCTTTCAACTATCCTCACACCAGCAACTATGTCGTAAGGACGAGTATCTTGCTCTAATGCAATTCAAAGACAGCTTTGTCATTGAAAGGCAAGCATCTACTTGTCCTAAAGTGGATCTCTGGAAATCTCAAGGGGTTGATTGTTGCTCATGGGAGGGCATATGGTGTGACCAGAACACTTCTCATGTCATAGGCCTTGATCTCAGTAGTTCTTGTCTTTTTGGTTCTATCAATTCCAGCAGTAGCCTCTTTCGCCTTGGACACCTTCAATACCTCAACCTTGCACTCAACAACTTCAATTTCTCAAAGATACCATCTGCAATGGGCAATCTTTCCAGGTTAATTTATCTCAACCTCTCTGGTTCTTTCTTTTCTAGTCAAATTCCACTTGAAATTTCAAAACTCTCCAATTTAGCTAAGCTTGACCTTTCTTTCAATCTTGATTATTGACATCAAGGATTGTTGGAACTCAAAAGGCCTGATTTGAATAGCCTAGTTCAAAACTTAACCAAGCTAGAATGGCTTGACCTCTCTTTTGTTGGTATAAATTCTCCAATACCTAAGGCCCTGGCTAATATGTGATCATTGACATATCTCCATTTTGGTCAATGTGGACTATTTGGAAAGTTTCCCACAAACATTTTTCAGCTACCTAAACTTCGAGTCCTTGATTTGGATAACAATTGGGAACTTAGTGGTAGTTTTCCTGAATTTCACTCTCACAATCAACTTAGGGTACTTGATGTTAGAAACACAACCTTTTTTGGTGAGTTACTTGTCTCAATAGGAATGCTTAGCTCTTTGGAATATTTAGATGTTAGTAGTTGTAACTTCTCAGGTTTGGTACCACCTTCAATTGGTAATCTCACCAAACTCCATGTATTGAACGTCCCAAATAATTCTTTTAGGGGAGAAAATGCTCTTTTCTTCTCAAACCTCACTCAACTAATTCAAATAAATCTTAGATTAAATCAATTCACTTTTAGTGAGGTCCCTTTTTCTTTGGCTAGCTTGATCCATCTCATCAAGATAGACCTTTCTTTTAATCATATTACTGGCCATTTTCCATCTTGGATTACAAACCTAACAGATTTAAGACAATTGGGTCTCGGGTCTAATATGTTACAGGGATCTCTTCCAAGCTCAATTTCCAGACTCAAGAACCTTGAAACACTCTTTGTTTACTTCAATAACTTAAGTGGTATTGTTGAGTTTGACACATTTCTTGAACTCAAATCCCTTAAATCATTGGAATTAGGCTTTAATAATTTCTCATTAGTGATCAAAACTCCCACCAATAGAACAATTCCAAAGTTTAAATTACTCGGTCTTGCCTCTTGTAATCTAAGAGAGTTTCCAGACTTTTTGCGTAACCAAAGTGAATTGAATATCCTTAGCCTCGGCTCCAACAACATCCATGGCCAGATACCTAGTTGGATATTGAATATGAGTGCAAATTTGTGGGCTTTAGAGCTTTCTCACAACAATTTCACAAGTTTTGAAGAATCCTTTCTTGTTTTTCCTTGTCCTAGTCTTTTATATCTAGACCTTAGTTTTAACTTTCTCAAAGGTTCTCTACCAATCCCACCGCTCTCCATCCTTTTCTACTTAGTTTCTGGGAATATGTTCACTGGAGAAATTCCACATCAATTCTGCAACATGACTTCTCTTCAAGTGTTGGATTTGTCTCACAATAATTTGAGCGGAATGATGCTGCAATGTTTTGGCAACCTCAGCTCCATGTTGGTTTTAAACTTGGAAGGAAACAACCTCCATGGTCTTATTCCTGAAACATGGGAAACTGGAAACAAACTCGAAGCAATTAAAATGGGACAGAATAATTTGCATGGGAGGTTACCAAGATCACTAGGCAACTGCAAAATGTTGGAGTTTCTTGATTTTGGAAAAAACAAGATCAAAGATACTTTCCCTTCCTGGTTGGGAGCTCTTCCTGAATTGAGGATTCTCATTTTGCGTTCAAATAGGTTCTATGGCACAATTTCAATCAAAGTACCAGAGACAAATTTCTTGTTTCCTAAGCTCCGCATCATTGACCTCTCAAACAACGGATTTGTTGGCACTTTGCCAATAGACTTCTTTGCAAGATGGAATGCCATGGCTAATCTTGATGGGGAGAACGCAGCATATTTGCAAGCATATAAGCGCTATTTAATGGTGAACCTTCTCGTCGTTCCTTTTCAATTTCCTTACTCAATGACAATAACAAACAAAGGAGAGAAAATGGAATATGCAAAGATCTTGGAGGTTTTTTGTGCCGTGGATCTTTCTTGCAACAAATTTGATGGAGAGATTCCAGAAGTAGTTGGGAACTTAAAGGGACTTCAATTGCTCAATCTTTCCAACAACATCCTTGTTGGTCCAATCCCAACAGCCTTGGGATATCTCACAAATCTTGAAGCACTTGACCTTTCTCAAAACAAACTTACTGGAAGAATTCCTACACAACTAACACGGCTCAATTTTCTTGCAGTCTTCAATGTGTCTCACAACCATTTGACAGGTTCTATCCCAAAAGGCAAACAGTTTGATACATTTGAAAACAGCTCTTTTGGTGGAAATTTAGGATTGTGTGGAATGCCACTGTCAAGGCAATGTAACTACTATAGCTCTGAGGATTTGCCTCCACCGTCTCCAACCTCCAAAGGAAATGAAATCTCTGGATTGTTAGCTGAATTTAGTTGGAAATTGGTGTTGCTGGGTTATGGATGTGGATTCCTCATTGGTGTGGTTATTGGAAACATTGTTTTTACAAGAAAACGTGAATGGTTTTTGAAGACATTCCGAAACAGGCATCCATGAAGGCAAAGGAAGGGGGGGTAAAAGATTGAATAGGAGCAAGGAGTGAAGATGATATCATTTCATTGTTTATGCTTTTTTCACTTCTTTTATTTGTTTTGTGATTACAAGTCAAGTTCAGTGCAAGTCTAATGTATGGTATGGAGTGGAATTTCAATCTTCATGAATAAGTACTTACTGCTACTTCAGCAGCTGATAGTGAACATTAATAATTTCTTTTTAGTAAATTCTTTGCTTTCCATAAAGAGAGAAACAGAGAAGAAAATTATATTCATTAATGTGAAAATGCAATTTATCATAAAAAAAAAAAGTGCAATTTGAGACACGTATGATATTTTGGTTGTATATGATTTGTTGTAATTTTTTTTTTATTTTACAATTCTTCACCTCCTCATCCTACACGTCCCAGCTCTTCACTCCTCCTTTAAAAACTACATGCATCCTTTAAATCCACTGACTGGATTTGAACACCATTCTACAAAAGATGAACTCCTGCAGCTAATAAAGACACAAATTGCAGTTCTCTTGTTTTAAACTTAAGATAACCATACTGTGATTTGCATTTTGCGTATACCTGTGAAAGTTATGGTCTTAGATATATTTTCAAGAGAAATATCAGTAACAACTGTTAATTTGTTGCATGGAAGAATAACGGGTCAGAGTGGGATGGAACCAAAAAGGATAATTTGTTGAAACAAGAACTAACGTATATGTTTTTTCAACCGCAAAGAACATGTACTAAAATGAGCATGCATTAGCTGAAAGATTGAGCTATGAAAACAATGGAAGAAAATGACATTTGAATTAGGTTTTTTGGAGTATGCGAGCTTAGATTTTTCGTTCATTCATAGTTTGAAATAAATTGATGAGTTTGTTGATTTTTTTTTCTCAAAGACATAAATGGAGAGAATCGGGAGGAAGATGAGAGCAGAGCATAAACTAAAATGGAGAGAAGTATAACACTTCAACTCAAATTTTCTCATTAACAAACTCTTCTATATGTAGGAGAATACAAACTTTAAAATAATTCAAAATTCAAACAATATTCTACTTTAAAAAACAATAAAATTACATTTGAAATTTGAACAAGTAACAGCCACTTTTCCCACATGCTTGCTGTTACTCTGCAGCCACTTTGCAGCCTTTCATTTCAGATGCATTTGCAGCTTCATTTTCACCAGATTCGCAGCTTAGCTTGCTGCACTTTGCTGCTACTGTGATATTGGTGCAGCTCTCCCTTCTTCATTTGCTGCCATTTTGTGCAGCCTTTCATTTTCATTTGCTGCTACTTGTGCAGCTTGAACACCACAACTCCAGCAGAGTTGCATTATAAGGTGATGGATTTTTGGATGAATTAGATTAAAAAAACAAGAACTCAAATTTTGAAAATACAGGTCTGGATTTCTGTTTTTCCAGCCCTTTCTCTCTTTCATTTCTTTTTGTGATTTTTCAAACAAGTGCAGTTTAAATAAAAAGAGCGATTACATTGCTTAATATCCCCTCAACAGTACAGAGAATTACATTTAATTCATGTTTGCTGGAGAGTTGACATATCTAGACCATTTTCTTCAAATTACAGTTTGTAATCTAAGCATCAAATCTCAACCCCAACCAACTATTAAAGACACAAGCACACCTACTACATTAATTGAAGAAAGTTACAATGGAAAACAGCACTTCTAACAATTGGTGTGCTCATTGGAAACGCGGTTTACACAAGAGGACATGAATAGTTCATGAAGACTTTTCAAATCAGGTAGCCGAGTAGGCAAATAAGGGGGTGTGAAAGATTGAATGTAGGAGAATGTAGTGAATATGATATATTTCTGCCCACGCTAGTATTTCATTTGCATGTTTCTTTTTTCTTCTTGTCTTTGTTTGTGTGGATTACAAGTCGAGTTTAAGACCAATGTATAGCATCAAGTTCAGTGCATGACCAATATAGTATAGAATGTAATTTAAATCTGCTTGAATTGATCCAGGCAAGATCCTCTCGCTGGATAGAGGAAAATGCCAGAGTTTAGGCTATGATTTTGCTAGTTGGTGTCCATTCCCATCTTATTGGGCAGAGCAAATAACGAGGGGCGTGTTAGATGTCAGTGGAAGTGCATTAGTGCGTGAACCCGAAGATGGAAACTGACTTTGGGCAGAGCAAATCCCCAATTAATCTAAATTTTATATTAGTTGATTATGATTAAATCGGATGTCTTAGAATTTTAATTTTTAGTATTACTTAAAGTCAGTTTAGTTTTTTGTTAATAAGTTTAGTTATTTAATTTAGTCAAATCATTTAATTTCAATTATTCAAATAAAATTAGAATTAATTAATTTTGATACTTAGTTAGGTTACAGTCTCTATGGGACGATACTCTATTTTCATCATTATATTACTTGAATTGACTAGTACACTTGTTAGAGTGGAATTAGCTGATCACCTCCCTCATAGGAGGATTGAGACCGTGCCTGTGCTCCACATCTGGAGAAGCATCACCCGGCTCCCTAACCATAATCATCTGTAACAGTTCAAAGTCCACATAAACATGTTAGAAGTGAAGCATTTAATCATTTATCTTATCTATGTATTGAAAATGGTATGTGTTAACAAGCACTTTACCTGCTCAATATCTGCAGTTTTAACTAGTGCACTATCATCATAAGTTTTGAATGATTCAACAACACAAGGAAGATCCAACAGAGATGCAGGGAAACGATCACTGCCAGTTACAAATGTCCCAGTCCGACCATCCTCTGCAAAGTGAGAAACTCGAAGTTGATAAATCCGCCTATTCCATAACCAATAAATAATCCTGATTTGAATACCTAGTAAAATACCAAAAAAGTGCTGTTTTTCTGAGCCATGGAGGCAACATGAAATTGACATGCCTTTTACAACTGAATATGCAAGATTAATTTTAAATATACATTAAGAAACCTTTCTTGTGGCATTTAAGTGTTCTAGAAGTTCATGGAATATATCAGGTAACTTGCGTCATACCATAGTTCTGATCACTGAGGCACCTTGCAGAAGGAATGATAAAAGCCATATTGAAAGCATGAAATAAAGACATTAACTTCATTGGATATGATTGATGAAATGATATTAGCTATCCTACAATTAATCTTCCCATGGAAGTAGCTGGAGTCTCACCAGCCTCAACTACTAATCAGAATACTCCAATCCTCTCCTTGGTGAATACATAAAAATGTTGAAGCCACTAAAGAACAAAGTGCTAGCAATAATAGCTTTAGCTCTCATTACTACAAGAAATGAGCAACAGAAGATAACTCGATCAGATAATGCAAATATTTCATACTGAGAGGGACTAAAAAAGTAGTATGCTCTAACCTCTATAGATGCTTTGATCTAGTTGGATGGACAGAAACAGACAATGAGAAGACATGGATGCACTCACTCTAGCAGACCAACATGCAGAAAATACAGTTTAAAAGAAGGAAGAATGTGAAGATGTAGATACGGATAAAACCTGAGGAAGTTACATAATCAAGAATAAAAGGCCACGACACTGAAAAGTGCTCTTAAGACAAGCCCCACACCCTTAAGAGCATGTTGCAAGTTGCAACCCCCAATCTAAATCGAGAAGAAGAAACACATCGTAAATATGGCTTTAATCTATTAGCAAAAAAGTTTCTCTCTTTTGAAGCCAATGAATCTACAAACCGTCACTAATATTGAAAATCTAGTGATTGAAAGCAAATTGAAATTACAATAATCAAAAACTGCTTGTGGGCATTTAAATTAAGTGAAGCATGCAAATCAAGAAACCCACTTGGCCTAACCAGATTATCTAACATCACAACAGCACAACTTAGCAAAAACCCGATTACCCCAGAATGAAATTAACAAATTATACACAAAATTTATAGGCTTTAGCGGAGCCATCCAATTACCCAGACATTACGTCGAACATATAAACAGCAAATCACAATTCAGCAAACAATTCAAATCAAACAACGAATTCAATTGAAAAACGAAGCTCTTGAAACAAAACTGAGAATTGACGTTGTCTGAACCTTTGTGCTATTCCATTGGCCGAGATGATAGTGGAAAGCGCCAGGAAAATCAAGAAATAGTAGTCGTCTCAAAAAATCAAGCTCACAACTTTTTCTGTGTACTCGGCAGTATGGGAATTTTGTTAACAAGG